GATTGCTGGGTGCTTTTACATTTTTTGCGGCTTGGCTGCTCGTCTCTCCGGGCGTGGTGCATCTGCTCTCGGCAAGGATGGTAGAATCCCCGGCCGCCAGGCTGTGTGTGGAACGCCCGTCCCCGCCGGCACTGCCGCCTGTTACCGGCCAGGCTCGCGGGGGTCGGTTGGGTCTGACGGGGAAGGTTCCGGCCGCCTTTCGCCGTTACCGCCCTCGCTCCCGGCGCGCCCCGCCAGGCGAGGGGACAGCGGCAACGGCTGAAGGGGCAACGGCCGCCACTGCCGCCAGCCAATCAGAGCGGGGCGCTGTCTGCCGCCAGCCAATCAGAGCGGGGCGCTGTCTGCCGCCAGCCAATCAGAGCGGCCGGTGTCAGCCGCCAGCCAATTAAGGCGCGGCGCTGTCTGCCGCCAGCCAGTGAGCGCGCGGTGCTGGCGGTCGGCAGCATCCCCTGCGTGCGTCGGCGCGGCCGTTGGCGGCCCGGGCGGTTTGAAKCCGTGCAGGCGGAATGGCGGAGCCACGGCCGCCGGGACCGGGGGGGGATGGCCGCGACTCGCCGGTCGCTGGTGCTGCCGCAGCCGCCGGCCCCCGGGACCCCGCCGAGCAGGCCGAGAGAGGTACGGGCTGCGTGCGCCGGCGGGCAGGGAGGGCGCGGGGAGCTGGGAGGGCCGCGGGCAGCCTGCGCCCCGCGCTGGGGCGGTGCCGGATGGAYGCAGCTGGAGGGGGCGAGGGGCGGCCGGGTCAGGCCGTGCTGTCCGGGCTGCTCCGGCCGCGATTCGGATCCCCCGCGGGCCTCGGGCAGGGTAACGCCCGCTTGGCTGGCTGAACGTCCCTCACACCCGGCCGGCTCTGCAGCAGCCCCCCGGCTCGGGGCGTGGGCACCGGGCTGGAAATGAGGGAACGCACGTAGGGATGGCKCTGAAAATCAGCACTAAAATGTGGTAGGGTTTTTTTCCTTTTAATCGTGAAGTTCTGGGGTGTTTCTCAGTGCCTACCACGGGCGCTGAAATGGGCGTCCAAGAACGTATGTGGGTTTGAAGTGCTTCACCAAGGATTAAATAGATGCGCTGTAGAAAGCAGGTTCGTAATTGAGCTTGGGCTGAACAGGAGTTCTTTGGGAATAGAAGAGTGAGGGAGTGATTGAACTGACAGTTCATGGGGTTTGCTTTGCTCCCGCTCCTCTTCCCAGAYCTGCACCGGGAAGATGCCGAAAGTGATTGGAGTGGTGACTCCTTGAGTGACTATGGCAGTCGTGACAAACCAGGGAGTACTTTGAGTAGGACTGTGCCAGATGGGAACGTGCTTTTCCCGGATATTTTTCACACTGATCATCTTTTGTTCTACGAGCGATTCAGGGCATACCAGGATTACATCTTGGGTAAGTAGTTTTTCCATAGGAAAATTAGGTGGTGTCAATTTTCTGGTAGTGACTGTCTAAATGATCCTGTTTAAGTGGGGTCAGCTGTATATTAMGCTATGACATGCTTTTAATAATGGGGGCTAGAAAAGATAATGTCTTGCCATCACTTATGCTGTGACCTCAGCTGCTCTACATGGTGGACCAGGAAGCAGTAGTTTTAATACAAATTAGACAAAATCTGAATGATGGAAAGGCAGATGTGTTAATAGTGGATTCTGTGCCTTGTTTTAGCTGGTTTTACTAGAACTTTTTATGTGTATTATAAACCTCTTTAAGATAAGGCAACAGGTTATGTGTTTAATACCATTGGCACTGAAACTTTCAGTGTCTGGGAGGCTGAGCTCTGGATCTCTTTCAGAGAAGCACAAATCAGATGCTCTCCAGCTCTCTCAATAATAAGAAAACCAGCAGAAATGCTGATGGTTATGATGAGCAAAACAGTATGAAATTCAGCTTGAGAGGTGGTAGAGGAACATTTCAGCTGTCTTGACTTTCAATTTCTACTGATCTGGAAGACTTTTCTTTAATTCCTTGCATAAATGCATTGCCTTTAATTTCTTTTTAGCTGATTGCAAAGCTTCTGAGGCGAAGCAGTTCATAGCTGAGTACCTGGAGAAGGTCCTTGAGCCCTCTGGCTGGCAGGCGATCTGGCGCACTGATGTGTTTGAGGTCCTTGTTGCGGTGAGTGCAGTGTTGCTGCTCAGCCATTTGTCTCCAATTAACATAATTTACCTCTGCAACAATCGTTTTTAGATCTCTCAATGTCCAGATCATGCATCTTTGTTGCAAACCTTGGATGTTCAAACTTGCAGTTCTATCACATGGTTGAGGGGGGAAGAGCTCTGTAGCCCCTTAGCTCTTCTGCCCCGTTAGTGACTAACTCTTTGGATTGTTTGTATCCTGTGGACAGTTTGAACAATGAGCCTCAAAGGAATCCCGAGGAGCTGTGAGATACTGATTTGAGTCTGAAGACAGTGCTTTTGCCRTTTTTAAAAAACAGCAAAACAAAAAAAAATCCATRAAATAGGGAAACAACTTACTGGCCTGATGTTCTGAGCATTATGAGGKACTTGAATGAAGTGAATGTGGAAGGGCTCTCTGGGTGTGTGGTTGTGAGAAGCCTAACTCTGGGTCATCAGCTTTGGCTGAGGAGGTGGCCTTGTCTGTACTGTGCCATTTGTGCTGGTTTGTCTGAGTCACTTGGGACTCAGAGTGACCTGCTGCTTTGGGCACAGTACATTCACCTCCCTCAGCTGGATCCACAGTTCTGAGAGATCTTCAGAGCTGTTTGTTCCCACAGGTGGTCGGTGTGAATTGCTCGGCTCTGAAGGCAGTTGTGCAGCTCACTGAGCCATTCCTGTGCGAGTCCCAGGACAGCAGCTTTACCCTGGAGTGCATGCAGGAGCTCCTGGAGCTGAAGGAACATCAGATCCTGCTGCAGGAGCTATGGGTTGTATATGATGAGTCAGGAGAATTTGACCAGACAGCACTAGCTATAGAGCACGTCAGGTAGGACAATTATACCCTGCCAGTTCCCAGTGGGTTATGTCCTGAATTCTTGTGCCATGCTGGCAGCTCCACAAGCCAAGCTTGCCAAAGTGACTCTGATGACTGGTACTCTGAGGAGACTGCTTTCCCTCTCTTTTCCTTCCCAGATTTCCCTGGACAGTATCACTTGAAGACTAGTACAATGTTCTTTCTCTTCAATAACATTTTGGAGAATTTTTTTTGTCCTATTCTTCTTTTTTTTCTGCATTCTGCTTCTTCCCCAAAGTTTGCTCATTACTCTTTAGGTGTCTCTTCAAATATTCTGTTTTTTTGCCTTCTTTATCATCTGTCTCTTTTCCATCTCTCTTTCATGCTGTTTGAAACCTCTCTACAAGTAGGCAGTAGGACTGGACAAAAAGGCTAAAAGAGGAATGACCTACATTGTCAGAAGGAAAGCTTAGCTGAAGGGTGATTGGCCAAAACTAAACAACCAAAAAGCCTCAGAATCTGAAGAGTGTCAGTCTTGCTTTTCAAATCCAGCTTTTAGCTTTTCACTCTCTTTTGAGGAAGTAGGGCACAGGTTATTATGAATTTTTAATTTGGACWAAATAAAACTCTTCATGCAGGTAAGCAACAGGCAGGAAGGATTACTTGTGTGTGTACTGTGTGCACTTCTGCGAGCAGCTTATGGGACTGTAACATGAATTGAGAAAGGTGATGCTTTGAGGTGAATTCTCAAATAGGTTACAGTGTGTTTCCAGTGCTGCTGACTCTGCTCTCCTTCGTATGGTTAAACACTTCCTTTGCTTCCAAAGGTTCTTCTACCGGTGCATCTGGAGGACCTGGGACGAGGAGGAGGAGGATGAGCTTGATTACTTTGTTCGATGTGTTGAGCCTCGGCTGAGATTGTGAGTGCAAACCTTCCCTGTTCTTAGAGATGAACCACTGGAATGTGTGATGTGGGAATAGTGACTCACAATTAGGTGTAAAAAGCCCCTGTTGACTTGTAAACCAAAACAAGTTTGTTCTAACAGCATTCAATGTTGGCTGCTCAAAATTTTGTGTGGAAAGAGCACAACTGCGGCTGTCACTTGATATCTGAGCTCTCAGATTTCCCCTGYAATCCTTGGCATTCCATCAGATCCCAAGCCCAGCAACAGCCATTCTCACACTGGTAYGAGTTGTAATCCTAGTAAAAGCTGACATGGGATGTTTTATTTACCTCTGGCATAAAATAAAAACCAAAACGGAGCTGAGTATAAACAAAAATTTATAAATTGGTCTTTCTGCAGGAGGAATGTGTGTGAATCTTTCTTGATTTTTCTATAAAGACTCAAATACTGTCCCTAAATTGTTACTCCTATTTCTTTCATCGGGCTTATGCCTTTTTTTTTTTTAGAGTGAGTTTCTGATAGTTGTATGCAATCTTTCAAAGTGGAGGGACAGCTATTTGGAAAGTTTGTGTCTGTTCACTTTTTCTGATTTTGCTGCTTTCAAGAGAAATGGAGCAGTGTTGATACAGACTGCAGAGAACCCTCACTCAAGTACTGATGCAGAACTCCTTGGGTTCTCTCCAGTCTCATATTTGGTCTTTGAGGACTGTGAATGTGCAGTGTGCTGACCCCTTGCTCTGAATTGCAGGCACTATGATATTCTGGAACAYCGTGTACCTTCTGGGCTGGTACTTGATTACCAGAACTTGCTGTCTCGATGTGAAGAGCTTTATGAGAAGTTTCTAAATGTGAGGAACAGCATATCAAGCAACGATTCAGACTCAGAAACAGAAAACRTTTCCATGGTGGAAGGACTAAAATTGTATGACAAAGTAGAGCACTTAAAACAAAAGCTAAAACTAATTGAGAATCCTCTGCTGAGGTAATTGGTGGCTGTGTGCAGGGAGGAGGCTCCTAAGGGGAATCCCATAACTTACAGGAGGTGTTTACTGAAGGAGGAGCTGTTGGCTCTGTGCTCTCATTGCAGGTACGTGTTTGGTCACCAGAACTACAGCAGCCTCCAGGCTAAAGGACTGAGACCAAGTGGGACCAAGGTCACTCATGTTGTGCCCTGGACCATGACAGCAAGTCTGCTCCAGCTGTTGACAAGGGACAAACTTTCCCCAGAATGTTGTGAAGGCCTAGAAATACAGGTGCAGTAACAAGAATTGTCTGCGAATAGTTTTTCCTCTCAAGAAACGATGTGGAAGAAKAAGTTAATTACCATGTGCAAGATACTACATTTGCACAGTGGTGGGKTTTTTGTCAGTTAAAAAAAMCCCTGTAATTTAAACAATAAATGGTAAAACTGGATGCTACAAATAATTTCTTTCARTTTGTTTGTGCCTGTTGAGTATTCTGTACATTCCATTTACTTCCTGTGTGTAGGAAATGAGATGAAGCTGTAATAATTTTACAGTGTTACATGATAAGGTGTAACACTTCTGTTTAGTTTTGAAATGCACATGTCTGTTGATGCTGCTGGTAATGATCTTGAGTTTGAAGGAAGAAATGTAATTTTATTTCTTTGGTACTGTGTAGGAAATGTATTTATTTTAGGAGCAGTTATGTCAGTTTTATTGAATTCAGACAGGGCTTGCTGCTTCAGTTAAGAACAGGCTGAATTCGTTGGACCTAAATGAAATATTTTGCTGTATTCTGATCACGTTAATGAATTACAGATTGCTAAAGTGGAGCCTTGGGGAAGGTCCTGGACTAAGTTTTGGGCTATCAAAAGATTTTTTGACTTGGCAACTGAAAAATGCTCTTATTATGCTTACCCTGGAATTTGCTGGGAAGCAATAAATGTGTAGTTTTTCTGTACTATTTGTCATCCTTCMGTATGGAATCCCTCAGTAATGTTTGTGAAGGATGTCAGCCTCCTCTCTTTATCAAGAAAAAGGACCATGTGGACACTATTTACCACTGTGGTATCTGAGCTCCCTTTGGCAGTGACTCATACCATGAGCAAACACAAGAGTGTTCAGACCAATGCTGATCAACTTGCTGAATTGTTTGGTTTTAATTTTCTTTACGTTCTGTTATCTATTTGTTCAGTAATTCATGGAGTTGGCCTGGAACCAAGGCCATAAGTGAAGTTTCCTTTGGGGTGTGTGTGCTCCTTGACCTGTGTGTGCCCCCATTTTCTCCTGGGGGAATGGGCATGACACAAATATCAAAGGGACATGTTAAGGGTGCTGTTGTCCACAGATGGCTACAATTCTTGAATTCAAAGTAGAAATTTTGTGTTATTTGTGCTGTTAAAAGGATTTCTTTTAAGCAAAAGCAGCAATATTTAATTGAAAGCAAGCTCTAAATGCATCCATTTTTACAGCATTCTTTGGGAGCTGATTGTGCTGTTTTGTCTTTTGCAGTTTCACCGTGATCCRCTGGCAGCTGTAAGTGCCTGTTATGAAGGAGAGAGAGTCATCATCTGTCCTGGCCATTATGTTGTTGATGGCGTGTTCTGCATTGCTGATTCAATTGAACTTGAAGGTAGAAGKTTTGCTGGTGTAAAGGTCTTTAAACAAGTGAATGGAATGTCTTAAACTAGCTCTGTGTAAGGATTTGCTTTTTGCAGAGTTTGCTTTTTTCTTCAAAGTATCCCTGTTTCTGCTGAAGACCTGTGTCTAATGCAGGGTGGGTGAGCTGTTTCATTAGCCATAGTGCAGATAAACTGTGGATTTTGCTGATTAATAGCAAATTCATCATTTGTTCCTATTTGTCTGCATAAATGGTGATCATGCAGGCAACAGAGAGATTCAACAGAAATGTAAGGGACTTKATGGTTATAATAGTGGAAACAGAGAAGTAATTTTGAGAGGCTTCTACTTACTTAAGAGTACTTGAGAAATGTCCTTGTCCTTCTTTGCCCGTCTGAATGTGCCTCCAGGGCAACCTGTGAGCCCCACTGCTGGTACAGCCCCAGTGAGTGCAGGGAAGGGACTGGGAGGTGCTTTTAGGATTTATTATGGCACGTGGAGCATGTCAGTGATGGGGAGCAGGGGCTGCCAGCCTGACTCTGCATAGCCTGAAACGTGGGTGGAGGAAGAAGCTTTTGATTAACACATATTTTCTGTAGAAACAGACACAACAGATGTGATTTTAGAATTTTTCTTGCAAATTATTTGTGTTTTAAATACGTCTGCTTTGTCTAAGATAAGTTGCTGTCTTTCCCTCACCATTCTTGATTTCTCAGTGTATTTCTCTACTTTAAGCAGGCACACTGTTGCAGTGTAATAGTCTGTTTATCACTGGGGCTTCTGCAGCTGTTCAGATACTTATTTAGTTGCATTTTTATCTTRTCAAAGCTTCTTAATGAGAAGAAGGCAGAGAGTTTAATTTCCTGCTGTTCTGGACTTCTGTTTTTCTCACCCTTCTTGTTTTATGGGTGTAATTTTCTTTCTTGCCCTTCTGTGTGTGTTTGATTTATACAGATACACATTGTGATAACCAGTGCACCTGCAGGACAAGAGACCTCGATAAAAGTGCTTTATTTATCTCAAGAATGACATTGTTCTAAAATTGTGTTTGGTGCTATTTATTSCTTTTCTAGCTGTGAGGAAACCAAAATACAAATGGTGCAGTAGCACACATTTAAAGGATGAGCTGTTCTATTTTAAGGAGCAAGGCATATAAATATGTATTTTTAGTACAAACCATGCTCTGAATAACAAGTACTTGTCAGGSTATTTAATTTTCGTATATGGAGTCCTGTTAGATATGGAGCAATAGGAGCAGCCAGGAACGTTTGAAGTAGGATCACGAAGACAAACTTTGCTGGTACTAATCTGAGCAGCTGGCTGCTTTGGTGGCTTTTTTGGGATGAAGGCATGGCTCATGAAAGATATGTCACTTTGCTTGGTAGAGTTTTTATTTTTTCCCAGCCACCATGCAAGTCAGTACTAAGGTTGAAAATAGGAAGATTAGTAAGTCAGTGATAAATAAAAACTTACAGGAACTAAATAAAGTTAAAGCAGGAAGCTGCAGGAAGTCATGGTAAGGATGGCTTCCATGCCTGACAAAAAGGTGTTGRAAAGGCACCTAAGAACTTCCCTTCTCTTGTGCTGTGGTTGTTGCAGYTGGCTGGCAATCTGTAGCATCAGCCCATGTGTGTCTGGTCGGTGTCAGGGGATGACAGCTGTGTTTAGCTGCTGTGGAGCCCCTCAAGCAGGGCACAGCCCTGTTGGGAGTGAACACCACTGGGCAGCAGGTGAATCTTCCTTCATCCTCCTAGAGCTTCTGCTTCAGAGGTGAAGTGTAAAGCCAGCTCAAGGCATGGTTGGAAGAACTGCAGGCACTCTGTAGGACAATCATTCCTTAAACTCCTGCTTTGGATAATAACCCCTTTCTGTAGTGGTCAGAAATTAGACTACATCTGACTTTTTCTGTCCTGTGGTGCTCTTTTTTTGCATGCTGGAGCTGTCCTATGCCACCACCTCTCCAGGGGTGATCGTAAATCAGCAGCAGATTTTTAGGTAATATCATGTGTTGAAGTATCAATCATTTAACTTTGCATTAAATTGCCTGTCTTTAAAACTTCCTGCAAACTCTTGTTCAAAGGTTTTTATTTTTTTTTTAAACCTTTCTACTTGCATGTGGCAGTATTTATTTATGTACTTGGTTAAAAGCTGGCATCCTGCTTGGGCACTTCTTATCTGAGTTTGTGTGTGCTTTCAGAAAATGATAGGACTCGTGCTGYTTTAATGGATGTTGCATTATTGCTTTCCTTATCATGATTCTTGTCAGTGACAAGCAATAAAAGCTTTACATGCTCGTAAATTTTCCTGTAAGTGCTTAAATGCTGACAGCTGTGGATGGCTTAGTAAATCAATGTTGGCATGTGCTTGTGAAAGCTTCTTTTTAAACTGAATTAATCTGGAAGCCTGTGCAACACAGGAACATTGAATTTTCCCCCAAATTTCATGTAAATAGGGAAGTTGTGTGAAGCTTACTAATACTATCAAACCCTTTCCTCTTTTTTCCCTTGTGTTATTGYGTGACTGCTTTTTCCCTCTGTTCTTTGGAACCTCTGTCTGCTCTAGTGAACTTCTGTCCTTTGAGAGCAGACTGGAGGTGCCAGTGTGTCCTSACTTCATGCATCACTTGGATATGGTAAATGTGAGCTTAGTTACCCATTTGTTCAACTTCCTCAAATAACTTTGCATTTTGTTGCGTGCCATGCAAGGAAGGGAACTTGAGTTTTTGTTTGCCGGTACGTTGGCACAGAAGGGATGTAAGGTGTAGCCTGGCCACATGGTGAGAATCCTGTTCAAGGTACTCAAACATCAAGCTGTTACTAATTTATTAATTTAAGTTATTAATTTAAGTGTCTRTTATGTACTGAGAACTTCATTGCCACCAGATATTCTCCAAACTTGCATCTTTTACCTCTGCTCTTAGGCTATGGCCTGCCAGATGATGTCGTGATAGAAAAGCGAGGGACAAGAGACAACTTCTTTGACTGTACAGGAGCCAATATAAAAATCTCCTGTTTGAAGTTAGTGCAACATGATGCTGTGGAGGGGATTTTAAGTAAGTGTAAAAGCTTCTTGACCTTTTTGTGAGTCTTTCATAAATTCATATTAGAATTTAAGCTGGGACCCAGTGTTTAGTTTACTAGTTTAACAAAATATTGTAGATAGGAGCTCCACAGGTATAAATATCAACTTTTGCCCCTCTTTTCTTAACTTGCTTATAATATGGACATCAAAATAGCTTCTGTTTGTACTTTCAAGCTATTGTGCTTGATTCTTGCAAGCTCTTATGCTTGATTCTTACACTGGGATAAGATCATTTGACTTGATCATTGTTCTGCTGTTAAGGCAGCCTGGCTCTGAGTGCTGTATAGTCGGTGTCAGGCTGCCTGGAAAAGGCAACAATTCCTCTTTCTGCAGAAGAGCCCCCATGGCAATATCCAGAGGCAGCTGACCCCAGCCACTGCTCCCCTCAGGAGCAGCAGATGCTGTAGGAGAGTTATAGAACTTTGTTTCCARCACGGTCAAAGTGACACTCGACTAAGTCTAAATTGTATCAAATGAGTTTGTTGGCTATGGCCTTGTCTTTGCAGAAGATGTTCATTAATGTTTTGCCTCAATACACATTTGGGTTTAATACATGTTAAAATGTTCATTAACACTGGTATGCATGTATTTAATATCTTTCAAATCCAAAAATCTCTTAGGAGTGTAAATAAAAGAATTACTATTGTCATTAAAAAAAAAGCTATAAAACCTTCAACCAGTGGTCTCTTGTAGCAGTGTTTCTGCTTAGACTAGAAAAATGGCATGAGTTCAAACCACACACCAGCAAATCAGTGAAATGAACCTGAAGTGGATAAAAATAAAATGGGAGTTTCATCACACTGCAAAACTGCTCCAAGGCTGTCTGTAGGAGGGGTTTGTGTTCGCATAACTGATTCTTGCAACAAGAATTGTTTCTGTGTATGTAGATGTCCATCATGGGAAAACGACGCTGGAAAATTGTGTGTTGCAGTGTGAAACCACGGGAGTAACAGTGAGGACATCAGCTGAGCTACTGATGAAAAACTCTGATCTTTATGGGGCCAAGGTACTCACTCATTCTTAACTTTGGCTTATTTCCTAATTGAAAATTTCTCTTTGGAARTAGTGCAGTCAGTCACAGGGCTGACTTCTGTTGCTCTGGAGAGAACCTTTACAAATTCATTTGGGACAGCTACATGTTACTGAATCCAAGATTGGTCCCAGGGGTCTTGTAGCCTCTTATCGTATCTAGTGAAATGTCTCAGGCTGATTTGTGTGKGATGATAGCAAAGTGATGCAGTAACAGGGGACATCTGTGAGATAATCATTGCTGCATAGCTGGACTGATTCATGTGCTGCAGTACTTTTAAAGTGATTTTCTGATTTCTCTGCCCATTACTAGTTTTTTCATTTCCGGTTGTTCCGCAAGTGAAGTGCCCTTTTTGGATACCTTTATTTCTTACAGAGGGATGATAAACACCAAAATGGACTCTGATTTGGGTATTTTGAAGAATGATGGGGCTTGAGTTATTGARAGGGATGACTAAAGAACAAGCCAGTAATGCAAGGCTGTGCAGCTACTCTTCAGCAGGCCTTTAAGGACTGATGGCAGTAATACTGTGTGGCCTCAATCTTGAATAATGCTGCTGTGAAGCTGGAGGAGTAACAGTTTTGCACTGTGCAAACTGGTAGATGAACACAAAGATTTGCCATGGAGTGGTCAAGTTAAACTGTTAATGTGCCTGAACTGTTTGTGAACTGCTACCAACTGTATCTTGTAGGGTGCTGGTGTGGAAATCTACCCGGGAAGTACGTGCACCCTGCTGCACAACGGGATACACCACTGCAAGGAGGGAATACTGGTCAAGGTCAGTCCTAGCCACAAGGTACTTGTTTGCCAAAAGTTTATCACTGCTACAGTTAGTGCCAGTAGGTTTGGGTGGGCTTAAAACCCTGCTGTGTTATGCTGGAACTTGTACACATCAGCCACAATGACATGGGACTTGGCTTGCCTTGGGCTGGCCACCGAAGCAGTCACCTGGGTTTATTTCTTATCTGCCAGAAGGAGAAAGTGCCTTTTGGAATGTCACTTGTGTAGGCAAATAATCGTGCTCTAGCCAATAGAGAGAATTGATTCTACCTCAAACTGGAACATTTTTGTGTCCCTTTAGCTGGATATGACGTGTTGGATTTCTGTTTTGTTCTGTAGAACTTCTTAGATGAGGATTATGAAGCTCCCAAGATAACCATGGTTAATAATATGATCCATAATAATGAAGGATACGGTGTGGTCCTGGTTAGACCAGCAATGCCCTCTGAGGTGAAGGATGCTCCGGCACAGAGAGCAAAAGGTATTTTTCTTAGAAGAAACTCCTAAAGCAAGTAAATCTAGCATACCCAGGTTTTTGTATTGCACAATTCATAACTTGTATTTGAAATATGTGGCTGTCATGAAGTACTTAACCAAAGAGTGAGCGGGATGRGGTGACAGTGTTAAGATTGAAGAAAACGAATTCCAGGATTTTTTAATGATGTGGCTGTTTTGCATGACTTGGTGACATTCTGTTTCCTGCCTTAGGGAAAACACAATCTGTCCAGACAGGTGATGAGACAGCCTGTGCAGAGGGTTCCAGGGAAGAACAACCCGGGTGTGTGACTGATGAGTTGGAGCTTTGTAAGAGAGCTGAGACTTCTGAGCCAAGTGAACGCAACGATGAAATTGCGAATGTACTCGGGGCTGCTTCTGCAAAGAAGAGCCAGACACACAAGAAAAGACTGAGTGAACTGGGGTTTACAGAGGCTGATGACAACTTAATGTCACAGGAAATGTTTATCTCTGTTGAGGGCAATCAGTTCAAATGGAATGGGAAAGGGAGTTTTGGTATCTTTCTTTTCTGACCGTCCTGGCATTGCGGTAGGATTTGTACAATTATTGGTAAGATCACATGCCAGGAGTTGTGCTATGGTGTTATGCTTTTATATCCCAAGTGTAATCCTTATTAAAGGACTGGGGCTAAAAACTCAGTTGGTTCTTTTGGCTCATCTTTCCCAAACCTTATATATCCCGAGTGATCTGCCTTTGTGATGCACACATAACACTTCTTTTTTCCTTGCACTTCCTTGTCAGCCTGGCTTTTCTCTCGACAATCTTATCTCTGTTTCTAAAACGATGTTTCTAAAGCGATTTATTTATTACCAAATGGTGGAATGGGTCAGCTTGGAAGGGTCCASAGTGGGTCATCTGGTCCCACCTCCCTGCTCAAGCAGGCCTGTCCCAGAGCACACAGCACAGGATTGTATCCAGTGGTTCTGGAATATCCSCAGTGAGGGAGACTCCACACCCTCCCTGGGCAGCCTGTTCAGTGCTCAGTCACTGCACAGTGAGGAAATTCGCCTTCATTAACATTAACAAACTAATTTCAACTGCTTGATTGTTCCTGTTTCTAGTTGGTCGTGGCTGACTGCTGTGGTTGGGTCCTGCTCTGTGCAGGTCCACTGGTGTGTTTTGTGCTCTGCAGATTGCACTTGAGTCACTCCCTCAGTAGGGTGCACTTGTGTAATTGTTGATAAATCACTGGGTGGTCTTAACCCTCTCCAAGAAGACCTTAATCTCTCACCAGAAAATTAAAACCTGGAAGCAGCAGTATGACCAAGTACCACTTGAGAGTCCTCAAASAGTCTTTCTTCAAAGGCTTGTTTGAAAATGTGCCCTTTTGTTCAAATGCTCTTCTCTAGTTTTGGTGTGCTTGTTTTAATAGTGCGAATGTTTAAAAGGGTGAAGCATGTTTGTCACAGGTATTTTTCACATTAGCACATTCTTGGTSTTCACAAAGTCACCTGTGCAGCAATTTATAGGAAGTGCTATTCATTGATGTGTTGCTGCAGTTTGGGAGAGAAATACGTGGATTAAAGCTGGTGTTTGGCTGGCAGAGCACCTCTGAAATGGCTCATGCTCAGTGCCTCCAAGGCTTTCCAACTGCTTTTTTATTGTTCTGAAACTGAAATGAGGTCACAAATGGAATATTAGTTCCATAATGATATTTAAACTATCCATGGTSTTTCATGACTTGAGGAAAGAATTTCCAGCACCTGACTCTATTCAGCTCCTATCCACACCTGTAGATTTATGCATAACTGTCAAGCTGTCTGTTGTCTTAACACACKCTTTGCAGCCTGCAAATACTTTTCCTTTTTATGATGCCACACCACATTGGCGTGTTGTTGCCTTGTTCACCTGTTCAAAGGGGTCTTTCAGTTTGTCCTATTTTCTATACTTTATCATAGTAGCAGACAATAATTCTTAATTAGGGCCTTGGATTACATAAAAGGAGAAGTCAGTGTTTGAAAGCGCAATGCACTCASATGAAAAAGATGCTTGACCCACCTTTTTTATTTCCCCCTGTGTGGRGTGCAAGGTGTTGCAGCATCTCCACTTTTCCTGTAGTTAACTTCCTCCTATGTAAAAGCTTTTCAGACTTTGTTAGTTTGAGACAATTCCTTCTAGAGACACTTTGTAAAATGAGGTTTGGGTTCTGTTTTCTCTTCAGGAAGTCTCAAATGCATTCTTTAAATCTGAGCCCAACTGCAGTTGGTGTTTGCACCTGGTGAATATTCTGTGTGGGGAAAAAAAGGCATCTTGCTTCATTGAAATTTGTCTGTAGAGAGAGGAGATGTGGGTGATTTACTTAAAGGTATGAAGGTGATAYATGATTTGCTTCTTAAGCTGTCTGAGCTACCAGTGCTTTTAATGCTGTTCACAGGTCCTGGTGCTTGTTTGCAAACTCGTGTTCATGCATTGCTGGGGTTCCTGACCACCCCACATSTACAGCTTTTGTACTGTGCTATTCTTTTCTTCTTTTGAGTTCCAAAAGTCTGTCTTATGCTAATGATGACACAGAAGGCGAGATATGACATGGAGAGAAGGAATAAGGTTTTGCAAGATTGGGTCTTGAATTACAAAGCAGCCTGGGAGAGCGTGCCATCCTTTCCCTGCTGCTGGGTGTTGGTGTTTTGGGGGCAGACAGAGCTCCTGATTACTTTTGTGTTTTTAAGACAGGARAATCTCTTCCTTTTTAGACTTATTTCAAATATAGGGAGAAACAGCAAAAACCTTTTGGCCTTGAAATGGGATGACAGGAAGTRTAAAAGCCTTTGTCTTGTTAGCATCTCACCACTTTTCTGGTCTTTGAAGTCAATCCTTTCTGCTCCCTGATTCAGTAAAAGCACAGTAAACCMCAGCTGCCTCAAGTATTCACTGTTCAGCTATGTTTGTCTTATGTTCCATTTCCATTCTCGGGGGAGATTTCATAGATTATAATATTTTTCTTTTTGCCATTGTATCCTGCAGGAATAGATTGCTTTTCAGTTGTGAGGCTTTGCATTTTCTTTTGGACATGAAAATGCAAGCCTGTAATTGTTTCATGGTAGCTAGATGCTTGATGATTTTAATTAGAATAATTAAATTCAGAGAGAGCAGTTGGATTAGCCAAATTTAAATTGTTATTTCAGTGYATCCATTTATGCATGGACATTTAATTACGGTAAGTTTTATTTTGCCTTTTTGGCCATGTGTACCAGGCTTACTCTTGCTGTTTGCTGAATAGTAAAGTGATACAATAAATTAATCTCTTGGACTTCTAAAATTGCAATTTCTTTCAAATCAATAAAGAAATTGCCAAAACCCCCACACAGATGAACATTGATTTTGTTTTTTCCATTAGGTATATGAGATTTGTATTTTTACTCCTAATGAAAAATCAATTTCATCATTTCAATGTAAGGTAACTTTGATCATTTCTACTGTTTGAGGATGTTACTCTGCAGTTTTCAATTTAAACATCATCTGTGTTTATGTTCTTTCCYTGACTGAGAGTAATTTCAACAAGCCAATAATTATTCTGTTAGTGCTGTTTTAGAATTTTCTTTGACTCTATTGCTATATTAGTGGGAAATTTGTCTGAGACTTCTCTAATGTTATGGGGAAATTATAGTAAAGTCACAGGAAATTTTCACAATACTAAGTATTGTAGTACTTAAACTGTGATAGGAACCTTGATGAGACCAGTAATATGTATAAGACACTTATGGTGAAATCCACAATTTCTGTTCCTAATTCTAGGAATAGCTAATGTGGAAAGCAAACCACCTTGAATTGTGTTTCATATGATCTTCCGATATTTTGTAGAATATGATTCCATTATGTGTTGAATAGCCAGCTTAATTTAAATTGTATCTTACAATAATATACTACCTTTTGCAACTGCACTAATGCTGTTTCTACAAAACTTTGTCTAAAATTGGTAATTCTGTTTTCCTCTCTGCTATTGGTCATTATCAGATACAGCAGTCTGGCCTTATCACATTGCTTTTTGAAGATGTGATTGCAATAGAATTAACTACCTGAATTATTTAAGAAMATAGGTCTTGGACAGCACCAGTAAAATGTTTGAGAGGCTACATCTGAAGTACAGAATGAATGATTGTTTTATTTCTACAACAACTCWACAAAAAATGTGGAAAAACTCTTTCAGTGATGCGAAGAAAAAAGATCATCAATAGCCAGTAAGCTTCTAACCTGGGTAAGTGAAGAGAAAAAGAACAGTGGAATAAATGCCTTAGAAACCAGTTAYGCCACTGAATGTACAGAGTTTAAACAGCATGGTGAACTGTCTTGAAAGCAATGTTTTAAAGGGWGCTTACCTGACTTTGCAGTAAGAGTTTGATTTAAATTTATACTGAATCCATTGCTGTAATGTCAGATTATGGGAAGAGTTAAAAATAAAGCTTAGCCTGCTATGAATAATTCTCTATTCTAAATTCTGAAATGCTTCAGCCAAAAGTAGGAAAAGATGAACACAGAACAACTGACATATCTTAGCAAAATGCTGTAGATGCTTTGACTTTGTGCTACTTATGCCTTTTGGAAGACCTTATTTTCAGATGAGTTAATTAGAGGCTTAGAATTAAGACAGACTAACATAACTCCTCTTGCTTCAGTGTCTTCAAATCCATAAGAAAATAGTATTTTGGACTGTATGRATCATATCCTGGTGTCTAGGGGGTGAAATGCTGTGCTCTCGTTAGATGTGCTACTTTGTAACATGCAATGTTTAAAATCAATTACAAATGCTGGTAAGTGTTTCAGATGTAGGGAAAGAGCTATAACTTTCTTATTTTGTCTTAGACTTTAGCAGGAAGGTTTAGAGCTTTTGARTATGACTTTTTACAAGGAATTAAATATTTTTAAAGGGGAAACAAAATATCCACAGCAGGCTTCAAATTTCAAATTATCTCCCCAGACAAAACAGCCATAGATGACTGACTATTACATATTCTGAGGACATTCCTAAAGTTTCACTCCAGATTGTAGATGTCCCTCTGACAAGGCTTTTATTTTCTCCAAACTCTCTGACTATATATAAACATTTGTAATTTTGGAAAATATTTACTCTGTAAGAGAAACRACACCTAGATGTTTTACAATTGAATTCAGTGCTGTCTGATATGCTTGACTGACAGCCCTAAGGAGAGAATGCTCCATTTCATGTCCCAGCACAGACACATCATAGAGTAACAATGTGCCAGAGCTGTTAAARATTCAGAGTGAGAATTCATTCTCTTGCTGTACTGGTGGTGGTGCCATGTATTCCATCTGTTCTGCTAGTGCAGGCAGTGAAGCACACATCTCTCCTGTGATACCGTGACTTTATTAAGGCAAGATCTGTCTGCATATAAAATATGATTACATAAACAATTCATATAGTCTAGGACTAAGATTTCTGCGAAGAACTTAGTGCAGCTSGTTACTATAGAAACAGGCAAAGGAGGCTGGTTTAAATTTGTTACTTCACTGTGTGCATTTCTTGTCTTGTGCTTCAAATGGGAAACATGCTGATGTAATGTGTCTTTAAAAACAGTTTAAACCTCGTATAAGCCAGTTCCCTGGGAATTACAGAACTTTCCCCTTATGCAAATTACTTGTTTGTACGAATACTTCTCAGTTATCTCAGTTGTTTTTGTGTGTAAGCCTGTATTGTCAGAAGCACTGGCACTGTATTTGTGCTCCTTCCCTCCTGGAAACATATTAGGTTTTTTTTTTTTTTTTTAACCCTGCACTAAATCAAGGTGAACGCACCAGGAAAAGTGGGTGGACATAAAAAGTGCCTGTAAAGCTTGACAATTTCATAGATCAAGACACAGTTAGGGCTTTCAAATTAGAGCACAGAGGAGACARCCACAGCAGCACTGCCAGCAAAGCAGGGAATGAGTAAAGGAAGGGCATGTGTCAATGGAGAGAAAGGATGAGCATGAGTGAAGGATAATTGCTCTGTTACATTAGACYCTCTTCCTTGGGAAATACTCAGCTACCGAAAAACACCAGTTCCCAGCGAGAGGAAGAACTTCACAAGTGACTTTGCAAAGCTGCTCTGGGCTTTCCACCAAAGCAGTGGTGATTTTGGATAGGTACATTGGTCAGCCTTTGTAGCCTTAGAGCTGCAAAATACAGAGGGTGCAATGAGTGCAGGTGTCCTTGAGTGTGGGTGAGCTTGGCACAGGCTGAAAGCAGCCACATCCCTATGGCCCACGGACCTCATGTTTCTATTTGGGAAAGGATTTGCTGGGAACTGAACCAGCCATGCCTCTTTGTTCTATGTGATTCTGCTCCTCACCTGTTAGAAGTGAGCATCTTAGAAAAATTCCGATACATACTGCCAAAAACAATAATTCATTTAGATATCTCACCTGCATACAATGCAATACAAAGCAGTTTACTGTTATGTAATTAAAAGCTACACTTATTGCACATCAAGCCATACCTGATCTTCCTGATCTGTCAAGATTCTGTGGAAATCTTCAATTTYTTGCCATCTCGAACAAGTCCCTCATGTATGTACAACAGAGAGTGTATGCTGCAGAAACCTTGAGGTCTGTATGGTATTACCTTAATTTTCTCCATTTAATCATAGTATTTAATCATAATACATTGGATTGATTTRAAATTATTTTGGATATCTGGTTAGAAAAAAATTTGTAATGGGAATACAGAATATTAACCCAAAGATTATTCTGCAGTATTTGTGCTCCAGCAGATGTTGCTCTTCGATAAGTGCTGCAATCAGTACAAAGAATAGGGAGTTATATGGCTTTTATACTGAAATGTGCATGGAAAGCTTTTCCATTTTATTAAAAAAAAGAAAAAAAGTGGTCTGTGGGATTCAAAAATATCCAGCTCTACCCTGTGATTCAGAAGACTGGCAGGTGAAAGCTGCCTCCTGATGACCTTATTCATTCACAAAAAGAACAGGAGTAATTTTCTTCTTCAATAGAAAATCTAACGTGCCTAAAATTCATCTTGTGATTATGATAAATTAGCAATACTTACATGAACACTKCCTTTGTTCAGGAGACAGGATGCATAAATTGGTAGGAGCTGGCAGAGTTCAGCTCAGAAACAGAACTGCCCCCAGCCATGGCAATCAGAGAAAGCCTGGCAGAGGCTCTTCAGCAGCAGTGGCAAAACTCCATGGCACTGYTTTTGAGGGACAGACACAACATTTTTTCAAAATTTCTTTTGTTTGTAGGACACAATTTGCCTAAMAAAACCATCAATCTGTACCTTTGGATGTTGTTTACTTCATCTATTCCAGATCATCTATTTGGTTTTGTTTTGGTGGGTTCTTTTTGAACAAACTGGCCAGATATTTTCATGTTTTCTTCCAAATTGCTCAGAAAAGTTCTTTACATCTTGAGGCATTACTGTTACTCTTTAGCCATACTGATAGTAAACTAATTGTTCCTTCTTTAATTTCTATCCACTGGACAGTCTGTAGTTTTTAGCAAGTATTTTGCTTCTTATCATAGGTTTATTTGGGTTTTCTAGCAGACTCTGGGAAGAGTTCTGTCACCTTCAGGCYCTTTGTGAGCCTGAACAGGTCCTGCCTGCTGGTTTTTGTGTGGTTASTCTGATAAAGTTCACATGACTGATTGTGGGCTGCAGGAAGCATGGCTCATCTCTGCTCTCATGTCTGTCAGAAAATTGTCATCATAATTTTAATTTTTGTTGTTAAACCATTTTATTGGAAACCAGACAAGTTTTTAAAAATGCTTCCTTCTAGTTCAACATGAGCAGGTATTACAATACTGGTGTATGGCTGTCCTGGTTGTGCTCTCATGTTGATATGAGTCCAGATAAATTTAACCATGGCACTTATTTTGTTGCATTGTCAAATGTGCCAAATGAAATATCTGTGTTGCTGCAGATTCTTTTTCTTAAAGTACTGGTTGCAAAGCAATTTTTAAGACATTAGTTTGTTTAGTTCTAAAAGATAATAGACTTGCTTAGATACTGAAATATAGAAAGAATATAGATATTACTTGGGAGTGAAAATATTTCCCAAAACTGGGCCAAACCTTCATGTAGAAATTGGAATACAGRTAAGTGCATTTCTTGAGGAAGCATTGACAAACACTGCACTGATTAGTTCCTCTTGAATAACCCTTTTGTTTTGTTTTGGTAATTCCTGAGTATTCATGTCTGGGAACATTAACAATCAAAACATGCTCCTTTTCCCTCAGCCTTGGATTCATTCATGCCTTTCATGCTTGTACCCAGAAATATCTTTGGAGAGTTTAAATAGCTGCAGCCTAAGCTCTGTGAGTCACTGGAGGAGAAATGGAGATGAGCAAATGAATGCTTAAAAAAACTTGTAGTAGCAAGGATTTTAAATTGCATAAATTTCACAGGCGTTGATTGCTGTGCTTTGAACTACTACTGAGATACTCATCAGCCTATTCTGTRAGGACTGATCACAATGGAGCAAGGCTGCTATTTATTTCACTTACAGTATTGTAGGAATCAGTCCTTTGCATCCATCTGTTTTTTATGGGCACAGTTTATCATATACAAAACTTGTTGGGTTTTATGTAGCAAGTTGTACCAATTCTATTCATCCACCTCCTTGTGATGGAATTTTTTCCCTTGACCATGATTTTTTGTCAAAACAGAATAGAATGCTTTTTCAAAATTAAGGAATGTGTTTTTGAAGTCCTGTGG